TCCCACTGACTTGCTTTCCTTGCCAGTCAGTACCCTCCAGTCCTTGCAGAGCACTGGAGTCATCCTCAGCCCTGCCAGGGTAAGAAAATAAATATCCTTGGAAGAGCTAAGAATCCCACATCTCCCCACATCCCAGTTCTTCTCTTGAGGTCAAATTTATCAACCAACTCCTTATAAAGGTACTGCTGGACATCTCTACCCCAACAAAACCTCTGACCTTGCTGGGACACACCCCGGCAAACAGCAACCCCTGTCCTGGGGGATGTTAACTCCCCCTAGCACTGTAGCATGAGCTGGTGGCTTTTGAGATGAGAGACCCTGGATCTTCAGCACACTGATCCAGCAGGATCCCAACAGCAGCCTGAGTCTGTTTGGGGATTTCAAACCCCATGGTTAAGGCAATACCCGGTATCCCTCTGTGAACACAGAACACCCCTGGCCTTCCCTTCCCTCACCAGATGGGCACCAAATTAAGTTGGAATCAGGTTCCACATAAAAAAGATGTGAAGTATCTTCCTGCACCCAGCGTGACCCCGTAGAGCTCTGCCACAAGACACTGCAAGTACTAGAAGTCTGTGTGGGCTCAGAAAGGAATTGGTCTAATTAATGGCAGCAAAATCCATCAGGTGACACAGAAGGAGCCACAAACCTCTGGAGGTGCTCCCGGAACAAGCACATGGAATTAGCTACAGCTCAAGACAAATGTTGGGTTTCACAGAATTCCAGAACTGTTAGGGTTGGAAGGGACCTCTAGGGATCATCCAGTCCAACTCCTTGCTAAAGCAGGATCCCCTGGAGCACATCACCCAGGACTGCATCCAGGTGGGTTTTAAGTATCTCCAGAGAAAGGGACTCCACACCTCCCTGGGCAGCCTGTTCCAGGGCTCTGTCACCCTCATAGTAGGTAAGTTTTTTCTCAGAATCCCAGAATGGTCAGGGTTTGCTGGGCTTGGCCTGACCCCGAGAGCCCCTCACAGCTGCAGGAACAGGCAGGAGCCCACACACCTGCTGCAGGCCAAGCAAGAAGCTGTGCCCACCCCAGCACCCAAAGGAGATGCCTCCCCTCAGAAAGAGGAGGGAAATCCCAGCAGCCTGTGGCTGCGGCGCCGAAGCCAGCTAATTAATGGCAGCAAAATCCATCAGGTGACACAGAAGGAGCCACAAACCTCTGGAGGTGCTCCCGGAACAAGCACATGGAATTAGCTACAGCTCAAGACAAATGTTGGGTTTCACAGAATTCCAGAACTGTTAGGGTTGGAAGGGACCTCTAGGGATCATCCAGTCCAACTCCTTGCTAAAGCAGGATCCCCTGGAGCACATCACCCAGGACTGCATCCAGGTGGGTTTTAAGTATCTCCAGAGAAAGGGACTCCACACCTCCCTGGGCAGCCTGTTCCAGGGCTCTGTCACCCTCATAGTAGGTAAGTTTTTTCTCAGAATCCCAGAATGGTCAGGGTTTGCTGGGCTTGGCCTGACCCCGAGAGCCCCTCACAGCTGCAGGAACAGGCAGGAGCCCACACACCTGCTGCAGGCCAAGCAAGAAGCTGTGCCCACCCCAGCACCCAAAGGAGATGCCTCCCCTCAGAAAGAGGAGGGAAATCCCAGCAGCCTGTGGCTGAGCAGCAGAAGCCAGCACAGCATGTCCCCAGCACCAGCTGCCCCGTGCTGGCACTGAGAGGGCAGGAAGGAACTGGAACCACGTCCAACACCCCAGGGTTGCTTTTGGCACACGCAGGAAGATAAGGCTGGGCCCACGTGTCCTTCTGGGGTATAAGTGCTGCTATCAGTAAAACAGAAATAGCATTTCCCTTCACTGTACCCTTTGCCTGACTTACCAGGGTGCTGGGCAGGCTCTGGGCTTGCTGGGGGTTTGCAGAGGGTTTCCCTGCTCCCAAACTGGGCCTGTTGACACAGAAAGGCAGGAGGGAAACGAGGAAGTCCTTGTTGCCAGGAGCCCCGGGAACAGCGCTGGGCCCTGACCAACATCCACCCTCCTCACCCATCCCCACTCCCTTTGGTCTCCCCAAAGGTCACTCTTCATCAGTCACTGCAGCTTTTTGTTTAGGAAATACCAGCTGGGATGTCCTGTCCCATGGGAACAGGGCTGACCGTGGCCTCTGCCAAGCAAATACAAAAGACCTTTCCCTGCAGCCCTTCAGGCCCAGCAAGACTCTAAGAAACCTCTGGAGGAAAAGACAAACAGGCTCCAAGTGCCAGGGCCAGGCTGCCTGTGCAGACTCAGCATCTTCCATCCCTCCTCCCATCCCTGCAGTTCCCTGCACAGAAGGAAGGGGAGAAGCACCCAATGGAGCACTACTGCCTCTAAAGCTTCTCTAACCAGACCCCCCCTCATCTTTCCCGTAGCCCCTTCAGGCACTGGAAGGGGCTCTAAGGCCTCTGAGAACATCCGGATGCAGGGTGGTGATGGGCTGAAACACAGGGGCAAGGCATGGCTTCTGCTCCTGAAATCAGGCACCTTCCCAAGGGACTCCTGCACAGGGCAGTGACAGCGTGGCTGAGGACAAACCACAGCTGGCTGGTGGCAGCAGGAGGGGACAGATCCCTGCTGTGACCAATGAGCAATGGAGCAGCTCATCCCCAGGACAAATGGGAAGGGCAAGGACCTCGTGCACCCCAAAGCAAACAGCAAACGTCCCCTGGGGCTTGTTCTGTCACCAGCTCTGCCAACGAGCTCCCTGCTGGCTCCAAGGACTCCAAATGGCACAGGCCATGGGGATGATTTCAAGCCCACCTTTCAGCTGTGCTTGCAACATCCAAATCATACTTTGCTATTTCAGAGCAAAGAGCATTTTACTATTCTTGATCTTGGACTATTTCTGCTTCTGTAAACCTTGAAAGTCCAGCCACCACCCAGGCCTGGAGGCCTTAGGTGGGGCCACCATCACACAGCTAATGCTCCAGAAACTGCTTCATGTGGATTCCAAGGAAAGGAGGCACATTCAGAGAATTTCCCCATTCTGTGGCAACTCCCACTTCCTGCTCCACAGGAAACACCAGAAGGCAGTGAGTAAAAATCAAATGGGACTCACACCCAACTGGAGAAGTGATAAGAGATTTGGTTCCGATCCACGGCGTGAAGAACAGCAATGAAATGTCAGCTTCTCAGGAGCCAAAAGGCTGAATGTTTGCCAAGAGGCTAAAAATAAGCTAAAGAGGGCTATATTTAAAGGCATGTACTAATAAATGTTTCTGTCCTTGGTTAAATAAACTGCAACTTCCAGGAAAACACTCTATTTTCCAGCAGTTTGGAGGGAGCTCTGGCAGCAGGACAAGAAACATTAAGTCCAAAACTTTCAACACCTTTTTTACAACTCCCTCGTGGCTGGAGCTGTGCCAGTCAGTGCTGTCCCTCTGATGGCAGCAGCAAACTGGGGGCTTGTTGGACTGCAGCAGAGAGGATTTCTGTTCCATCACACCATACAGGTCAGACACTGCACTTGTGCACCCTCATGGGGCTGCAGAAGCACCTCTAGGTGCATCTGGCCCATCCAGCACGATGGAACTTCAGTGATTTACTTTATTTTGCCTGTTTATATTTACTCCTTAGAGATAAGTCATCCTCTCGGTGTAAGACAGGAAGTTTCTCCCACGTGGTGGCACAAGTGCTCACAGCAGCAGGCACCTGCCTGCAGGAGCAAGCAGGAACCTGGGCCCCCCCAGAGGAGCCTCCCAGCCCCAGAGTGACAATTCCTTCAGCTCTCCATGACGACACCAGCACACCTATGAAGAAAGTGTTTGCAGATGGAAAACCACCCAAGACCCCTGGGTGGAAGGAGCTGTGCCAGAGCCCACCAGGCAGCACCGTTTGCCTTGACAATAACCCCTGTTACAGCCCCATGAGAACAGTGTTTGCAGCACAGAAGGGCTGCCCGGGCTGGTTAAACAAAGCATTGCTTTAATTCCAAGGTTTTATAAATATATATTTACAAAAGGAAGGTATCAATCCAAAGAGTTAAACAAATGTACAGCTCCCAAGTATTGCTACAGTATAGGGAGAGAAATCATGTTACCACAACCCCACAATTTAAAATACCCATTATTCAAAAAGAAACCACATTTTTAATTCAGAATACCTCAGCCAGTTTACAATATCCACCAGTGTGAGAGCACAACCTGGCTTGAACAGTTGGATGCCAAGAAGGAACTGACCCCTCTCCCAGCTTTCCACGAAAAACACAACACTTTCTGCCATCCAAATGGACACTGCAAGCCAACAACCCACCATCCTACAAAAGGCTTTTCCAGCCCAGGGACTCTGAGGGGAGCACAGCTCAAGGACAGCACACTGGACTGAAGGTAAAACCCTCTCTGCCCCAGTCCCTGTGACCACATGTTCAGAGGCTGGTGAGCAACCTGCAGATCATACCAGCCTCTGTCCTCCTGGCATCACTTGAACAGCAACAGTCCAACAATTCTCTGATTACACAGTCTTAAACTGTGCCTGCAACCTTCCCCACATACTGTTTCGCTCCGGTGCAGACCCACAGGTACAAGAGGGTCCTCCCATAAATCCTGGGGTTTAAGATGTTACCAGGACCTCCAATAATGTTTCAGATAAATAAAAGCCCAGAGCTGCTCCAAGTCCCTTTCTGCAGTTTCCATGGGGCTTCAGTCATCTTCCCATTAAGCCAAGAGCAACACTTCCCTCAGGTGTCCCTCACTGCAGCCACCCCAGTGCTGCTCACACCAGAGGAGAGCGATGGCAGCACAAGAACACTGTCTAAACTCCTTAACAGAAGCAGCAATGACCTCCAAATACAAAACACAGAAACATCCACAACTTAAACTAGGGGCACCAACCCCTGGAGGAGTTGGGGGACTTCTTGGGTAACAGAAGGCTTGGCTTGGGCATGTTTTTTTCTGAAGAAGGATGTCCAGCAATCTTAATTCATCCAGTAGTTCTAAATCTGTACTAGAGCCACCTAGGATATTTTTTAATTTAAAGTTTAGGCAAATTAATTGTAAATAATCATACTAAAGAAAGGATTTAAACACAAACTGCTAGTGGAAAACTGAATAGAACTTGCTAGGAGTGTTAACCTGAAGTCTTCCACAATTTATTTACTTCTTTCAATTAAATCACACCTCACGAATGCAGCTCCCAAGCTCATGGTCAGAGTAACATTGTCTGTTGTCCACTACTGTGAATCCAGTCTGGCCTGAGGCCTCCACCACACTCAGGATGCTGTCTGCTCCTCTTTAGCCACAGTCTGCAGAATGCAAGAAAGAGAAGAGAAGGAGTACAGGAAAACTATCAGAATCATGGAGCAGTTTGAGTTGGAAGGGACCTTAAAGCTCATCTAGCTCCAACCCCCTGCATGGGCAGGGACACCTCCCACCAGCCCAGGTTGCTCCAAGCCCCATCCAACCTGCCCTTCAACACTGCCAGGGATGGGGCAGCCACAGCTTCTCTAGGAAGCCTGTTCCAGTGTCTCACCACCCTCACAGTGAAGAATTTCTTCCTAATGTCTCACCTAAATCTCCCCTCCTCCAGTTTTAAACCATTCCCCCTCCTCCTCTCCCTCCCCAGCCTTGTAAACAGTCCCTCTTCATCATTCCTAGAGCCCCTTCAGGCACTGGAAGCTGCTCTAAGGTCTCCCTGGAGCCTTCTCTTCTTCAGGCTGAACACCCAACTCTCAGATCGTCTTCATGGCCTCCTCTGGAATCTCTCCAGGAGCTCCACATCCTTCTTATGTTGGCTGCTCCAGAACTGGACACAGTGCTCCACGTGGGGTCTCATGAGAGCAGAGTAAAGAGGAAGAATCACCTCCCTAATCACTGTGTGACTCACTGTCATGATTCTGAGGCAAGACATTAATTTCTGCCAGAGGCTGTGGCTGGTCTGGGCCCCTGGTTAACCACTGCAGCAGCAAAACCATTCAAAGGAAACGTTGCTAGAGAAGAGGACAATCCCACACAAACTGCCAAGAAAGGTTTCTCAGTGTTTGAGCTTCTGATCAAACTAATGACAATAATCCCAGCAAACATCTGTGAACCTGTGGCAGCCAAAGCCTCTGTCCCCAGTGTGATTCATCCAGCCACAGCCAGGAAAGGCAATGAGAGGAGGAGTTGAATGACAGCCTAGAAGTGGAACAGGTAACAGTTGTGCCTGCTGCTGCAGGGACCTATAGAAGGAGGAAAACCCAGCACTGGAAAGGAACTTCTGAGAAAAGCTGGTTGGAAGTGAGAAAGAATCAAAAGGCAGTGGCAGCCTGTCCAGTGGAGAGCTTATGCTGCAGCTGGGCACTGAAGCACAAGGAGCAACACACAACCCCTCCTGATGCATGGCTAGCACAGCCTGAGCTGTGCTAGTGGAGGGAGCAGTGCCATGAGAGGTGTCACTCAGCAAGGCATTAGCCAAGGAGCAGAATTCATCAAAAGCTATTCCACTCTGAAAGCACTTTCACTGATTGCAGTGCCTGATTTCCAATAGGAACTTCTATGGCAATTACTAAAAACAGGAGCTCATGAGGCACTCCAGATGGAACCCGAGGCCAGCAATTAGCAAGTTCCTCTGTGACATAATTAAGGGGAAAAAAAACTCTTTCCTGTTTTGCCTAGGCAGGGAGGAAGTTTATGGCCAGAGAGAAGGATGAACAGAGGGTGCTCAGAGCGTACCTGCCGCAGGAACTGCCTCCCCAGGTAGCTGGTGGCCATGCTGGTCAAGTTCTTCCGACTGCCAACTTTGCACCTGATGTAACCATAGAGGTTGGCTCCCTGCAGCACCACTCCCATCCCCACCACTGCCTAAGGCACAGGGAAACAAAGCCATTCATTTACCTCACCTTCACTGCGACATGCAGGAGGTGTCAGTGAGCTGAGGGAGGCAACTCACCAGCCACTTCACTTTGAAAGAGAAGAGAGCACTGAAAGCAAATATCACCCAGATCATGGGGCAGGTAATCAGACCTAACCAGAAAATTCGGGACTCTGCTTCTGATGAGGTTTTACTCCCTTGTGCTGATACCTAGAAACAGAAAGAAAATGGAGATTAACAGGCTGCTCCATTGTACAGATCCCATCATCAGGAAAAACAGCCCAGGACCTACAAGCCCCCTGCTTTTGCCTCCACACGACAGTCCTGGATTGCTTCCAACCTCTACAGCACATGAAGATCTTCCTGCAACAGAAGATGCTTCCATTTAAGGGACTCTTGTCCATTTTCTATCAGAAGCAGTGGAGGAAACAGCAGCATCAAATCCTTAAAGCCTTTAAAGGATAAGTTTAGAAAACATGGCATTTGCTGCATCATTAGGTGCAAAGCTGAAACAGCCCAAGGGGTGACGTTTTCTACCTCCAAATCACTGCATGAACAACCAGATTGTCACTGAACTAAAGATTCACAGAATCACAGACTGGTGGGGTTGGAAGGGACCTCTGGAGATCACCTAGTCCAACCCCTCTGCTAGAGCAGGATTCCCTAGAGCAGATCCCACAAGAACACATCCAGGTGGGTTTGGAATGTCTCCAGGGATGGAGACTCCACAACCTCCCTGGGCAGCCTGTCCCAGGGCTCTGTCACCCTCAGAGTAAAGAAGTGGGTTTTTTATATTGAGGTTCAATCTCCTGTGCTCCAGTTTGTGCCCATTGCCCCTTGTCCTGTCACTGGATCTATGCATCCAAGTAGGGTAAATCTGTCATGACACACACAGAGGTTAAAGTCACAGCATACTGGGGCTTTCACAAAGTCTTTTCAGAGCAGAAGACCCCAGGGAAGCACCCACTTCTTCCTGTAAGACTTTTAAAAAATTGTCAGGGTTAACAGCTTATGGGTAAATGTGCAGCAGCACCAGCAGTTCAACTGCCTTCCCCCCCTCCCACTGTGTTCTGGCTTTTCTAAGCTGGCACAGCCTGTGGTGGGTGCACAAACTCAGCTGGAGAAAGGCTTAGGCTGAAGTCCTTGCACCACTGCAGACCTCTCAGGCCACCTAGGAAATGATCTTTACCTCATTCCAGATCACGCCATCAGCTCCATACAAACAGATAAGAGAGAGGGAGTAAAAGGGTGAATACAGACACTTTGTGAGGTGCCTGACACAGGACACCAGAGAGGCAGGAGCAGCCATCATGCACACAAAGGCAAAGCAACAGCCATGACAAACTCCACAGGTTTTTTCCTACTTCCAGTAGTTCTCTACAGGAGACAAAAGCTACATCAGCTGTTGGAAGTTCACACCTGAAAACCTGTAGGCTCCTGATGTGACACAGGAACCTCTACTTTTTTTTAGTGTGGAAGTTTCAGGTTGGAGATTAACAGGCTGCTCCATTGTACAGATCCCATCATCAGGAAAAACAGCCCAGGACCTACAAGCCCCCTGCTTTTGCCTCCACACGACAGTCCTGGATTGCTTCCAACCTCTACAGCACATGAAGATCTTCCTGCAACAGAAGATGCTTCCATTTAAGGGACTCTTGTCCATTTTCTATCAGAAGCAGTGGAGGAAACAGCAGCATCAAATCCTTAAAGCCTTTAAAGGATAAGTTTAGAAAACATGGCATTTGCTGCATCATTAGGTGCAAAGCTGAAACAGCCCAAGGGGTGACGTTTTCTACCTCCAAATCACTGCATGAACAACCAGATTGTCACTGAACTAAAGATTCACAGAATCACAGACTGGTGGGGTTGGAAGGGACCTCTGGAGATCACCTAGTCCAACCCCTCTGCTAGAGCAGGATTCCCTAGAGCAGATCCCACAAGAACACATCCAGGTGGGTTTGGAATGTCTCCAGGGATGGAGACTCCACAACCTCCCTGGGCAGCCTGTCCCAGGGCTCTGTCACCCTCAGAGTAAAGAAGTGGGTTTTTTATATTGAGGTTCAATCTCCTGTGCTCCAGTTTGTGCCCATTGCCCCTTGTCCTGTCACTGGATCTATGCATCCAAGTAGGGTAAATCTGTCATGACACACACAGAGGTTAAAGTCACAGCATACTGGGGCTTTCACAAAGTCTTTTCAGAGCAGAAGACCCCAGGGAAGCACCCACTTCTTCCTGTAAGACTTTTAAAAAATTGTCAGGGTTAACAGCTTATGGGTAAATGTGCAGCAGCACCAGCAGTTCAACTGCCTTCCCCCCCTCCCACTGTGTTCTGGCTTTTCTAAGCTGGCACAGCCTGTGGTGGGTGCACAAACTCAGCTGGAGAAAGGCTTAGGCTGAAGTCCTTGCACCACTGCAGACCTCTCAGGCCACCTAGGAAATGATCTTTACCTCATTCCAGATCACGCCATCAGCTCCATACAAACAGATAAGAGAGAGGGAGTAAAAGGGTGAATACAGACACTTTGTGAGGTGCCTGACACAGGACACCAGAGAGGCAGGAGCAGCCATCATGCACACAAAGGCAAAGCAACAGCCATGACAAACTCCACAGGTTTTTTCCTACTTCCAGTAGTTCTCTACAGGAGACAAAAGCTACATCAGCTGTTGGAAGTTCACACCTGAAAACCTGTAGGCTCCTGATGTGACACAGGAACCTCTACTTTTTTTTAGTGTGGAAGTTTCAGGTTACTTACATCAAGCCAGATCAGATCAAGGTATCAGGAGAATTTTTAAATAATCCAACAAGTCAAAGGCTTGTTCAGCAGCTCCATGAGCAACAAGGCCATGGCCACAGATCTGTTGCTGGGGGGAAATGTCCACACTGTGCAATCCCCCATCACAAGCATAAGTACCAATGACAGAGGTTTCATAAGACAGGGAGAGGAAAGGGGAAGAAAAAATTACCTTTCTGGCTTCAAATACCCAGTGACTCCTCCCATCATCATCCACCTGGTTCCACCAGCGCAGACCAACCATCAGTCTCCCCGTGACATTCTGAAAGGCAGTAAAAGCTGTGAGATTTGTATGTCCTGCTTAAATAAACCCTTTGTCACTGTTCAGCTGTTTGGGTTCCTGTTCCCAGTGGTGCTCCTTTGCCTGACATTTGGGCAAACAAGATTACACAGCCCTTATGGCCACAACAACTTATGTTTTAATACAGCCAGCAAAACAACAACTTGCTGAAAGAATCTGAAGTGAAGTGTCTTCCTGGTGATTTGAAAGTGATTTGATAACAAAGCCTGTGCTGCCTTAGAAGGAACTGGGAGGTGTCCCTGCCCATGCAGGAGAGTTGGATCTAGAGGATCTTTAAGGTCCCTTCCAACCCAAAACATTTTTTGAAGTTTAATAAATGTTCTTAATTTTATTTTCAAAAAGAAGTCAGGTACAGAGAGATTTAAGAGCTATTATTTTGTTAACACTCTGCAATACATCAGGTATCTGGGGTATCACTTTGTTGGAAAGGCACAGAGAAGCTACTTTCTTTGGTGACATGAATATCACTCTCTTCAATTTTTATTTATAAGACAAAAAGAAGGAGGAACTTACCTTTACAGCCCAAAAGTCACAGGAGAGGAGGAGGATAATGGTCACCATGCAGGCAATAAAGCTGCTGGTTAAGAGCTCACAGAGCAGATAGACAATGATGGCACTGACTCGGAAGAATAAGTGGAAAAATGATGCCACTGGGTGCCTGGAATGAAGCACAGAACAGACACAGCTCCTTCACATAAGGCTGAAGGAATTTCAGAGGAATTACATGGCCAAGGGGATCTGTCAACTCACAGGATAGGGCTCAGCCTCACCACATGCAGCCAGTGTGCAGAGGCTGCTGGAAATGTGGGTGATAACCTGGCTAGAAGCTCCTCCCAGGGAAGACACAACATGCAGTGACAACCCACGTGCAGACAGACACTGGGGTGGAAAGGGCACAGGGAGTTTCACCTGGTGTCCAACAGAAGGGCAGCTCTTCTGGGGTAAATTTAAAAGTGTTCTGATAGAGGAAATCCCTCTGAAGGAAAGATGACATGCCTCAGCACAGCAGACTTGCCCTTCTCTGCCATTTCTGCAGTTCCCAGGTCAGAAACCTGCAGTCCAGGGGCAGGGACACCACAGCTCCTGTCTAGGGGCACTGCCCTGCAGCAGCAGCAGCTTGGGCAGGAGAAGGGAGGAGGCAGCTGGACCAGCACGTGGCAACACCACACTTGGAAACAAAGACTGGGAAGGATAAAGGAGCAGCCCAGGACCAGCACACGGTGAGACCCTCTGTATCAGTGCAGATCCCTCACACACAGGAAGACAAACACTTATAAAACCTGAGCTGAGCTCCTGGAACCAGCACTCTCAGTCACCCTCCACCACCTCTAACCAGAGAAGGTATTTGCCATCAGACCCTTTGATGTAACATGGTAGTGCTTCCTTCCTCAGGCTTCAGCCCAGAACTCATCCAGGAACTCTATCTATGGCTACTGACCTGATCTTTGACTTCTTTGATCTCCTGGATACATCATCATCTGCATCAAAGAGAGACACGTCCTCAATGTCATCACTGCTGTCCTGGAGCAGGGAACAGGGCAGGGTTAGAGCAGAAAAAATAATCTGTTTTCACCTCCAAACAGGGACAGTTTTGATGACCCATTTTATTGAGAGCACATGAAGATAAAAAAGAATGTGGGAAGAACGTGAAGATTTAATCACCTACAAAGTAAAATAACGCAGCAATTGGATTCGATTCTGTTCTATGTTTTGATTCGTGCTCTGTGAAACCTTCACGATGAGAGCAGGGGCCGAGGCTCCTCCCGCCCGGGGGGCCCTGCTCTCTCCTTCCTCCTGCAGAGCTCCTGGCCTGGCACAGCGGCTCCCG